TCTACACTAGAGGACCAATGCACCCGCGTATGTCAATTAGTAAAGTAAAATAAAGGAAGGAGAAAAATAGCAGAGTCATATCCCAGTGTATCCTTGCCAAAATTCATAATAATACAACTGGCTAGAACCATTCTGAATGTGTGGCATAAGGTTCACGGGGCGAAAGGGGGGGGGGGGGGGGGGTGGTTGCTGGTATGACTTAACAGCAAAAGGCTGGTCAAATGAAAAATTAATTTGAAGTCTTCTCACATTCCAAATATTGCTGCAGTTATGTAGGTTGTTGCGGCTGGTTGCGCCATGTCTTTATTATCACGGCCGCTGGATATCGAATACATTGCTTGGTCCAATTACCAGTTCTAATGCGGCAGGAAAATATCTAATCACTCTTTACTTTTTATCGTGGTTGAGAAGGCATATGGGACAGGACTCATGGTGACAAATGCGACAGACTAGCCCCACTGGTACTTCATCCTCACAGCTACAACAAGTACGTCTTTGCCGTAAATTAGGTGACTTCTTTGCCCAATCATGCTTTGGTGTATCCCCAGCTCTCTTGTACCCTGTTAATGACTGCGTGCCAGCAGAGTAGTTTACTTGGGGGCACGTGATTCCATGCTTTCTGCTATAGCCCCATCAGTAAATGACACAAATGAAATCACTATTCCTTACAACCCCATACTCCAATTTTTCCTTTTTACTTATACAAAGCACCTCTGTTCCAGCATCTCTATTTAGCCTCTTCTTCGTTCTCTTCGAGTGTATCAGTACTGGTAATTACAGCCTTTGAGAAGGAACATACTGGGTCCATATTCTGCTCGGTAGGGCTGAACAACAAGGGGAGCAAAAATACTCAGCAAGAGGAAGGAAGACCCATATTGAATAATGAGATGAGATACGTGGGATCTTTCTTGTTGGATAGATAACACTGGTGATTTATCACTTTAATATAGAGGAATTCCGGTCCTAGCTTATATAGTGCATATTGTAGCAAGCAGAAGCAGAATCTAGTGATGAAGGAAACCGGCAATATGAAAGTAGACCATAATATCAACCAGACCGTTTCTTTGACTCCGGCACCGTTAATTCTTCATTAGGCTTTGTTTTCCATGGTCATTGAGACTGAGTGCACCTCATAGTAGGGTTTAGTTATTCACTTCTTCATTGAGTTGTTGAAATATGCAGGCTTAACAGCAGAGAGATCTGGTTCTCCCAGAGACTCGTGGTTCTTTTCTCTGGCAGTTGATATACTTTGATTTGCCATACAGTCAGAGTAGAGCTCGATAGAATCAGCCAGCACAGGACTGTGACTCATGGTGTAACATCTATGGTTATGTATTTCTTTGGTCTGTATAGGTACTATGACACTCTGTCTCGAGTCTTTGCGAGCATGTCCTTTGCAAGATAATTAAACATCTGGTAGTATCCGTCCCTGTTGGTGTTTTTACGGTGCTTCCGCCGCCACGGAAGCACCGATCTAAAGCTTTATACCAAGCCATGGAGAAATAATTGTAGTGGTTATGAAATATAATTTCAAGATCTGATGGAAAAGGTAGTATAGGATAATGGTATGCCACTACATCTCCTGCAGCCCGAGTAAGAACTTCGAGCTCCGAGAGTTTGAAGGAGATAGCTTGCTTTAACTCATCTAAGGTTTCACTGCTGGCCATGGTCGATATGGAGTCTAAGAGAATGGGAAAAAAAAAAAGTCTGTAAGTACAGTGGCAGTCTTTTCAACTACTCGCGTACAAAGAGGGGTTGGGCTGCTTGGGTGGTCAATGTCTACCCTGGTAGACATTGACCACCCAAGCGTATACGCCCCACCGGTCCAGCCTTGCCGACCTCAATCTGACGCGATCAATACGGCTCTTCGGACTGTCCTTTTCGTTGGTGGGGTGCAATGTAAAATAAACTAATGGCTCGTAACTTGCTTCCCACTGATCTTTCAAGTTCTTGAACTCATTAGATACCTCGGAGGAAGGCCACTGTTGATGATCCTTCTTCTTGGTTCTACGTCCCAGACTTGACCCTCAGCATTCTGACACATGCTGCCAGAAACACGCTTGGCGCTAGGAATACACTTCTCTATGCACATGTACGTCTAGACCCTGACATGCCAAAGGCTAAGACTTAAGCACAAGAACGAACCACTTGAACAGCATGACCCACCACCCTTATCGAAAGTATCTCTACCTCCTCCCACTTGTCTCCGGCTTCAGATCAACGCGAATGATACCATGAGATGCAGAAACCTCCTCGCGGATCTACATATCTTCACAGCGATTGGATGTATCTTAACTGACGATATTAAAGCTCTCTTTTAAGGGCAGGTCGGAGTGAACGGGGACTGATTCCTCTCCATGCTTACTCTCTCAACTTCCACTAAATTCGTAAACTTGAAGCTCACTATAAATGCTGATGAGCATGTCGCGGTATAACTAGAGGTCAGGCTGCCCAAATGCTCACCGAATTTTAGCACAGGCCCATTCAGAATCTCATTGAACCATCCAATTTCACAATCACTGCATCATCACTTCGACATGGCTTGGTACAGTGCTTTACTCCCGTGCATGCTATGGTGGCGGAACCTCCTGTGGCGTAACAGCACCAATAGGTATAGACAGAGTACAGACGACCTTACTTCACTGACTGATAAGATACCTAATCTTGGAGAAAGGGTAAGTGTAAATACTTTTTGAGGTCGCTTCTAGGAGTCTAATCACTTTGGAAAGACAACTCCCACAGATAACATCGATGGAAAGAGCTTCGTGGCACATACTGTCGTGCAGACCAGGCGGATTGGTGACCGAGAACGTTGCTGCTTCAATGACTCGGATTTGAACAGCGGCACAGTTACCAAATTTATTGAGCTTTGTTAATAGCATTCCAGATCAGAGTACTACTGCCGGAAAAATTAATCACAAGGCCCTGCGAGATCCTGAGCTCTTTGCTATCCGCTCGTCATGCATCGACAAATCAGCCAGCAAGTGGATGGTTAGTCTCTACTACGAACCCCCACCCAGCCTTGATGACCTCGAGATTAAGAACTTCGGATCTCGTATTCCAGAGTCGGAGGATGATCCAATTGAGGCTATCTTTCACTATGAGGGAGAGAACATTTGGGTATCTGTTCCTTATTTGTATGCTAGAACTAGAAGCCTTTCAAGCGGTCTGTTCTGATTGATCTCACTTCTCCATTACTGTCACCTTCTTTTCTGTGCCGCTGCTACTTACCATGTTATTGTCTGCATTAAATAAAATTTGTAATTATTCTGGAGATTAGATCTATTTCCCTGATCCAGCAGAATATACAACCTGCTTGGCTCACTCGCCCCACGTGATAATTCGAGGAACTGGCACTAAAGAGATTAACAGAGTAAGCAGGGCTGTATTACCATACCTCTGCCGCAAGATACGTTTCCATTTGCTGTTATCAAATACCTGGTCGTATCTATCAGCTGAGGCTTTTATACACCGAGACAGGCACGCAAGTTTATCTTATTCTATCACGTGCAAACCAACCAGATTTTCCGTGGCCGTCTGGATGCCAACAGCCATCAGCGATGCTGTGGGGCTTCCCAAGAGGCAGCACTTAGTTACGCATTTCCCTTGCAGAAAGGCACCCGCCTTTCCTTCGGGATATACAGTACCTTCTTATGCGAACATATTCAGCTTGTATCAAGATTCGGCCTAACTACCTGGCCCTGCTCTATCTCCGATTACTTTTGTCAACCTTCACTGAAGTGGTAGCTTATCTTTCAAGATGACTTAACAGCGGCTTGGAATACCGGAATGTGAGTTTCCCGACCGCCAAATTCTACTTGATTGACGGAACTTTTATAATGGCACATGACTATGTTGAGCTGGCCCTCCCGGCTGGCAGTCATTCAGCATGGGGCCATTTGATTGCGATACTGCAGATGCTCGTGGTCGGAAGCAAACACAGCAACCTCAACCACCTCAAGGGTCACGTGGAACCTGCGTCATGACATAAATCAAACGGAATAGCGCAACCTTACTTTTGTCAGTGAGAATATTACGGAAGTAACGCTGCTACGTTGCCTTCGTAGACAGTAGTCAGGATTTCTCACATCTCTGTGATTTCATGCCTATGAGGTCATGACATATAGATCTGATAATTACCAAGATACCAAAAAGTGAAATATGTTCGTTTGTGCTTGATAACAATCTGGCAGCAATGTCTCCAACATACGAAGAACGGATGGGAACTCGGGAGGTAGAGATTCACGCGTGGGGTGCACGGGTCCGATTCTCTTTCGTGTCTGAAGTTACCGAGCCGATAGCACGGAAAAGGACTTGTGGAGATTGATATCATACATTCCAGCCAATCACGGATAAACGCGCCACGAAAGCACCTATGTTTGGGCCTTCCACCATCAGGTTCCAGAAGTCTTCGTGGTTCGCATGGGATATTCTGCCACTCTTGCTTATAAATGCAGGAGTCACGTGTATACCTAGCACTGGCCCCGGCAAGCTCATTGGGCGCCATACTATGCGGAAATCTTTCTAACCGATGCCCTAGATCTGCTGATGAATTAATTCTTACGACTGTCTTTGCATGCCCGCTTAGGCGAGGCTCGACTGAAACTGACTCCTTTCGGTTAACTGACATCAAGCAGATGATTAACAGCAGCCCAACAGATTGCAAAGCACTAGCAGGCAGAGAAGGAAAGGGATCAGAGAAAAGACCAACACGACAGACAGATTTTGCAGAGCTTATCCAATACCGTCATAATTATTTCTCTTGATATCTGAGAGCTGAAAGTCCGTCTTGTTCTAGAATAGTAAAGACACCGCTGCCTACAGGGAAATGCTTTCCGTTGCAGCTTTTGCCTTGGACCGATTGTGGACTGTGCAGCCAGACAGCAAAAAGTTTATCGTTCTATTCATATTTACTTGGAACCACCCGCGCAGCCTGCCGCACGTTTTATTTTCGCCTCGCCTTGTGCTTGAAGGCTTGGGGCACCGATGGCAGTCACTCTTTAAATGAAAAAATGGGATATCATGTTTGTTGCATTGGCTGAGGACACCGTGAGAGAAAGGGAACTGAAACAGTACATGATACGGATTTATTTCAAAAGTCATGAACTGGAATACCAGTAAGAACAATCGTACCCCAATCACCACGCTTCTGGATGGTAGTGGATACGGAGAAGATGGATTTTGTGGTGGCTTAGAAGTAGGACTGGCCAATATGATCAGCATTCAACAGGCGTGCGAGCGATTTAACTTGCTGTTAGTCAAGAATATAGGTGAGACACAAGAAAGAAAAATTTTCAAATGAGTGTGAAGGCTGTATTTTGTGGGCCAATAACAGGAAATGTCCGAGAGGGTTTGAGCTCGTGACCGAATATGTAAGATATATTCTATTGAATGGGAAAGTCGGCTTGCGTCACGTTGGGCAGCAGGAAGCTCCATTAGGGAACGAATTCTTGAATCCGACATTTCCTTCATTCTTAGGCTCAGATACGTGACAAATGTTTCCCGAATCTCATATTTCCACTTATTCTAGCAGATGCAGGTACACATTGACCAGCCTCCGGAACGCTTCACCAGATGCCAAGCCTGACGTCATATGACTGCGACGCCGTGGGCTGAAAAGTGCGCTAATGGTCTGTTAAGATCCACGTAATACCGTTGGGCATCACGAAAAGTCCCCTCCACCCCACTAATAATGCCTCATTGGAATTCGCGCACGCAGCAAATACCCTACTTTTCCCTCTATCCAGCAACACCAATGTGATGGTAGTATTTCTCTAACTCAAGTTATACGGTAAAGAAGCCACGAGATATCTATCGTCTCTTGAACGTGAATGTAGGTAAACCTATATCCCATGCAATTACTCTGCTAAAAGTCTCTCTACAGACACCGTCAATATCTCACGATACTATTCAGGCCCCAAGTTCGTTCCACATTATTCATAACGCAGAGGGTACACTATGGATGATCTTGTGAAGTTCCTTCCGAAGGCACAGTGGCGAGAAAGAGGCCAACACACTTCCATTTGCAATGATAGCGAGAACCTCGAACCTATCTTAGTCAAATGCGTATCGGAAATACCTCTTTCATTAGAGGGCTTCGGTCTGCAGGTTTGGAAAACGACGGGAAATACAAGAATATTGGAAAAAGCGGCATATATTATACCCGTGTCCATAATTGAAGGAACACCTCGAATCCTTGACGGCCCCCAACTCGTTCCAGGATCAGATCCCTTCTACTTTGAAGATCAGGCTATTATATCAGGTTCTCTTTACTACATTCTCGCAAAGCCTCCAACTTTCAAATTCCCTGGAAATGGCACCGGGTCTTGACAGTTATAGCAATGAGAGTCTAGGAAGGAAGTATAAGGGTATGTGTTACATAATGTAACTAACTCCAACCTGCTGTACAATCTCATATCAAACAAATTTTAAGCCTCTGACGCCGCTTCAATGGACTGTTCCAGTGCCGCATATGTTTTCGATGTACTTGATCCAGATGAAACACACGGATAATCATCATGATTGTCTGTATGTGTTGTTCCGAGGTTTTGAGGCCCAGCTGGAGCTGAAGCTAGGGTAGGACCAGTTACGTTCCCGTCAGCGCCATGGAGAAGAACCCAGGGTTCGGCTGAAGCGATTATGTCGTCGACTGACAAAGTACGTTCGGAATTATCGTTAGCACTCTCCCCACCGCCTGTATCAGTGCGGAGAAACAACCAGGGGTTGGCTGAAGCAAATATATCCTCGAAGGGCGCGAGATTCAAGCCGACGGAGGTACTGACCGGATCGTTCGACAATAGCGATGTTTGTTGCATTGCTGACTCGACACTGACCGGAGAACTGGGGTTTGCTGTTTGATGTAAAGTGGGTTTGCCCTCATAATGATCCAGGATTTTGGTCCAAGCCTTGTGCAATGTATCACGGATCGCAAATTGTGGCAACGTTTCAGTATATGCATTCAGCGCTTCGATCTTGGAAGGTGTCCATCTGTGTAGCTCGAATCTATTAATGATTAGTTTACGAAAACAGAGGGACGGGTTTGAAGGACCTTTTCGCTGATGCTTGCGTGAATGAGAGTATTAGTTCCGCATGTGTCAGCCTATTCCACTTCCATCCAAATAATGAGTAACGCGCAAGTCTTTTTCTCCTTATATCTTGGATTTTCTTTGGGTCGTCCCACAGCTGTGAGCAGATGTCGCCTAATGCAGAAGTTAGAAAAGTGGAACTTCGACTATCATGATCACTCTGTGTTTTCCTGCAACGTTTTCGCGCTCTTGGACTAGAACAAAGTTGTTCCTGTCTCTCGTAGACTTTTCGAGATAGTGTCACGAGTAATGCCTTGCGTCTTGTTGGATCAAGATCCTCCATGCGTTCTAGATCATTGTAGCACCGTCGAACAACATCTTTATCCGGTGTTTCTCCGTCACAAAACAAATGTGGGCGTATAGCCCAGAGTTCCGCACAAGCCTTAAGACATCTGGTATCACCAAGAGCCCAATGCTTTGTGATGGCTGTGAGGTCTTCTACCTCATTCTGAGAAAGCTTATTTCCGCTGCATGAAATGAAGTTCGAAAACCAGGTTCGTCGCTCGGAAATTGAGGGATCCGATTTGGATGGTTTTTTAAGGTTTTTGACGAGGGCTCGATGTAGAGATAAGAGCTGATTTTTTGATGCTGATATTTGCTTCAAGTGATCACTAACTGCCTATGTGGAGCAAGGTCAGCTGGGAAAAGGAGTATAGGTTAATGGTAAGTTACAGCATCTCCCGCAGCCCGAGTAAGAACTTCGAGCTCCGAGATTTTGGAGGAGATAGCTTGCTTTAACTCATCTAAGGTTTCACTGCTGGCCATGGTCGATATGAAGTCTAAGAGAATGGAAAAAAAAAAAAAAGTCTGTAAGTACAGTGGCAGTCTTTTCAACTACTCGCGTACAAAGAGGGGTTGGGCTGCTTGGGTGGTCAATGTCTACCCGGGTAGACATTGACCGCCCGTGCGCTGGAACAGCCCAGCCTTGCTGACAACCTGGCGTGAACTTATGTGGAACTTGTGGCATTCCTTTTTTTCTGTGCAAATGACGCGCTGCATGGCACACATGTTGCCACTAATCGAATTTGTTTAGAAGCCATTATTGCATAGGTACATTATCCCGTTGCCCACAGTCTCCTGCTGCGGAACTTGCTTTACGATTGGATGGGGACAGTATGACGTGATTAGAGTAGGACTCAGGCTGGCCAATGAAATTGCCGTTGCCAGTATTCCCTATTTGCATCCATAGTGTCCGCAGAGACGAGGGCTTGGCTCCGCTCAGACATGAAGCCTGTGACTCCCAAATCCTCTTTTAGCTTCCATATGTTCAGTAATTTTAGGGCTCTGCCTGGTCTTTTTTCCTTTTGTGTACAGATGTGATTTTCTGAGGCTCATACTGTAAATCTCTGCTCACTACGGTACTGCACTGTTCAAGCTTTCTTTGACAGTTCGAATAGTTTCCTGCTGAGTTTAAGACCACTGTAACTAAGCGCCATGAAGTAGCGTATATGCGAGCATCCAACTGTAATTCCCTTCCGGTACGCGTTGGATACACCTTAGCTAAGCTTTCATAGCGAAATAAATGTAAGACTATTACTGTCCTTTTAGGCTTGCTGCGCACAGGCTTTCCTGATTAAGAATTAACAACCATCCAATGGCCATGTTAGCTAGATCTGCCAGGCGGGTCGGCTGTGATACGAATTGCATTAGGGGCGCTAACTCTCGCAGTGTCAGGACCATTCATTCCCATTACTTCCTATTGCTGAAATGCAAGGACGATTGCACACGGGCACAACGAGAGAAAACAATGGTGGGAATTACGCGAAGTATTGGTAGCTTCTTATGCCAATAGTTTAGGTGCCGCGCGTTGTCAGACAATCTTTCCAAAGGTGGCCACAGGAACGGCGCAACTAGTCTCACATCTTGGAATTAACTATTGGATGTCTCACAGGGGTTATTGTAAACTTCGCGCAATAAGATGCTGACGTAAGAAATATAGTCCGAAGATTTGGACAACGTCTAATATATACATGTGGGAGCTCCCTGTTCGGAAGTCGGCGGGATTACTTCAGGATTCCTGGTTTGTCCCATGAGCCCACGCGTTGATGGTTCACTCCGTCGTCCTCCTGGCAGCTTCCCGAACGTTGTGACAAGCAGAAAATGGCGGTCGGCCACATCTACGACCTAACTAAACTACAACTATATAGTACAACATCAAGAGCCTGAAGGCATGCCGTGTTAACGTGCTCTGTCCTCGAGGGTCGAACTCCAGAATACTTGAACGGAGCCCTGGCTGCGGCCTGGAAACTGGTTTTGAAAAAAATCCTTGTCACGTTTAACAAAGTTTCCTTCTCTTCTCGGCTTCAAAGGCATCGTGAGCATCGGTGACGTGGCTATATTCGACTTCGACATTGAACTGAGCTCTGTTTTCTAGAGACTGTTCTAGCCGAGCTGCGCGCTGTGTGTCGGGTGATGTGGCGGGCGTTCTGTCAGGGTGTAGCCTAGATGACTTTCTGGGATGGAGACTGAGTGCCCCGAACGTGACGGATGGGGTCACGACACTTACATGAACGCAAACCTCGGCGGGAGGCCGCACTGGCAGCTGATGCTTGGGCAACGGCAATGCTTGGAAAAGGAGATGGTGGGCAAATCTGATGGAAGGAGATTTGATGGAAGGAGGATGTAGGCGCGAAGGGCATCTTGTGCGGAAAGGGGGAGTCCATGACTTGAAGCTATCAGCGATGAATGCAGGCAACAGATTGAATAGGGGCAGACTGGGATATGCTGATAGGATGTGGTTGCGTGAGGATTAGGCATGAGAAGGGAATGAGGCTGGGGTAACATAAAATGTAGTGAGCGAAAGCAACCTCGTCCACTGCGACTCTCGTGGAGACCAGGACGTTATAGCAGTTATCAAGCTGCTATTACAGAATGATCGTCAGGTAGAACAGTAGCTCCCTTGAGGTTCTTCGTTACTAAAAAGGTTTTCCCAGTCCAATTTCCTTCGATTTCCTTATGTTTTTGTAGAAGGGTCTAATATTAAAAGGACATCGTATAATGAGAATCAAGATACGTGCTTCTGCAGGAGATGATTTACGTAAATGCAGGCATTTGAGAAACTCTCGCGTAAGGCGTGACCTTATCGGTGCCCCGTTTTGCGGAGTCCTGAGGCACAACTAGGTCTCCTGGGGGGGCCCAGCAAGGTCATTCGGTGTATTGGTACTGCTTCCTCTGACGTTCTATCTGGTGGTCTGTTTATCGCTGACAAGAAGCTCGTTCAGGTTTCGCGACTATTTTAGACAGGGACGAATAAGCCTACCATAATCTCTGTTCTAGTTGAAGCACTCTTTCTATCATCAAAGCCGAGAAATCGTATGAAAATGTGGCAAATTTTCTCAACGTACCATGAAACAGCTGCTGGTGTTGAAGAGCGGATAAATGCTGAATGGCAGATCTTAGCAAAATGTCACGTAACTCCGAGTGAGGAGGGCTGTCAGGCCCGTAGACATATCGAACTGTATCGATGAATTCCAGGTATTCCCAGTGATTGCAATTTCTGTCGAGACAACCTCATCAATCCCTCGACCTGATACTTATCAGCGAGGACGTATATCTCTGCATTAATGCGTGCCTTGCTTCCTTCGGCAGTGAGGCTAGAAAGTGTGGCCTGACTGCCCTCATTCATATTGTCTATAGTTGGTGTCTCGCTTGGCTTTGCTGACTCAGTTTGCTCAGGGGCGTCTTGAGCTCGTTCAGTGATGGACCATGATTCACAACAATCGTCATAGGTGGCGCAATAAAGGTAATCAAAAATCTTTGTAAGGATGAGTGGGTCGTCTTCGATGGTAATCTCTCTTGAGATGGCTTCCTGTATATAACTCATAAGATAAATCACCGATGCGAACTGCTTTCTTGTACCTGAAAATTCCCGCTTATTGCCTTCTCAAAGAAACTCGACTGTGGACAGACAATACATACAGCTATGCACTCTGAAGACGGACGACTCACAGAGAACTGTAAGATCTGATTAGGCACCATCTTTTCGAATACTTCATCAAGTCAATTGTCATTCAAAATACCAACGAGCATCTGAGCTTACTTCGATAAAAGGGTTCGTAGAGATTCAAGATCGTTGGCCATCTCGTGTTAGAATTCGATGGTCTCGATTTCAAAAAAAGAGAAATATACCGGGTTTTTCTAATCAGCGTCTGAAATGACACCACGCCGCTCAAAGCGGGGTCAATAATATACGCAGAGCTGCCCGACAAGCTGCAGACGATTTTGGGGTTGGCCTAGGCTATCATCTGTACTCCTGCTCTACGGCGCTGGATATCATAATTAGGGAACCTTAGTGGTGATATTTTTGGACAACATGAAACACGGCTCTCGCAATCAGATACGAATAAATAGTCTTTCTATTGACGCAAAATTTGTTTCCGAGGGAGAAAATGACACATGTTTGCTTCTGCTCGGAATCGATCCATGTTAGGCGCTCGTGGATTTACTATGTATTCGTCATCTTCAGTCGGCCGGCTTTTATCCTTACAAATTTCCTTATCGCTCAAATGGATCTATCCAGTAAAAATTATGTATTTCCTTAACTTTATCTAAGAAGATGATATAACAGAAATAAGATCAGTATAAAACTTGGTTGCAGAAATGATGCCAATGTGCTTACTCTTCCCTGCATGTAAGTGGGTCGGCTATTCTATAAAGCTATAGTTTCCTCATTCTACCAATGACCCTTGGCTAGGAGTCAAAGCACTGGCGTATTCTGGACCAGTGGCTCCGGATTAGAGAGTATAATAGAGAGTAGACTATTCCACCATTTTTGCAACTCAAGTGTCTACAGAATATGGAACCTATTTTTTGTTAACTGTGCAAGGTGATGCGGTAATAGAATACTCCCATACTGGTACTACTGCACCACTCCTGCTACTCCATCGAGACCTTAGAGAGGATATGCTGACTCTATGAGTTCTTAGCCACTCTCATACCGATAACTGTACGCAGGACCTGGCCAGCAAAGACTATAATTCCACCTATTATGGATGACTCTAGCTCGAGCGAATCCGCCGACTGCCAACTTTGAGTCCATTGTGCCTGCTCAGCTACAACAATATGACTGGATCAGCCAGATCAACAAGGAACTACTGGAAAATGCGAATGCAAGCCAAGCAGCGGCTAGCATGTGCGTTCCAAGACTGGCTGAAGCGCCAAAGCTGCCCAGAACTGTATTGATCCCGGAAGTGTTCAGACGGTATATGACGTTTACACCGATCGTTGCGGACATGATAAGGGCCAAGGAAAGCTGGAACAGTTAGCAAGTCCTTTCTCGTAATGCCGACCCCAATGACGATAGAAATACCACGCAGAAAGTAAGGAGGAGCTTATTTCCTCCATTAAAAAACGTCTTCCTAATACCCAGAAGTGCTGTAAGGGTCTCTGCGACGAAGCCAGAGATATATAACCAAATAACCGCCCTCGATACGTCGTAATATCCAGTGAGGACTTTATCGTCGATTCTTGAAACCAGTGCATCGATCTCTGTCGAAGCAGAATTCAGAATGCCGGAGATATTGAACGTGAAAGATATGCTTGGCCGGGAACAGGAGACGACTTGGGTATCGTTGCCTTCGCAGTAGCCCCACAAGCCGACGGTGTAATACGCCGGGAGCTCTGACTGGAGTTCTTTTTCCAAGGTTCGAAGCGCATCGCTCGCTTGACTCACAACCGTTCCGGCGGCAGTAGAAGCCTTGGTTGCGATACCCTGAACGGCAGTAGAAGCTTCAGAAGCTGCATTATCCATGCCATCTGCGACACTGCTGGCGACATTTGAAACCCCGTCCGTGATGCTTGACGAGACTCCGGACAAGTCGATGGAGCGGCGAAGACGGAGGTCACCGAGGTTTGGAAAATCGCTTAAATTGACCTTTTATGAGCTGTAAACGTGCATCATGAGCGAAAGAAATACATCGGCCCACCTTCATGAAATATAGACCCGGAGGAGAGGATGAAGATGTGCAGCCTACAAACACCACTGCCACACATACCAATACCGCAATTGAAAGTAACAACGCACTAATGGAGCCCAAGTGACCGAAGTTACTGGCGTGCCGAGGCATCTTCTCTAAACAGCTGTAAAATGAAATACTACTAGACTGGTACAAAGCTTGAAGGCCTTCCAGACCTAAAAGACAGGTTGTCCTGGAGTATGTGTCAAGTCCTACTCTGGCTTCAACCAGCGAGTGGCCGTTACAGTAAGGTGAACGATCCTCGGACTGGACGAGTGGACACGTTGGTCTAATATATTTTGTGCTGGAGAATATATATAGTAGATTAAAGCTACGCGCATATCAATCAGCGCCAGGCTCTGTTTTACTGACTCCCGTTTAGCCGTGGGGAAGGCGAGGCAAGAGTGAAGCTGCTTGTACAAGGACGCCGTGGTTTATCAGTGGGTTTGGCTCTTGACGCCTCAGTAGCTGCAGGAGTCTTGATTTGTTTATTCTGGCCCCATTCGCAGACTATTAGGAAACAACTGAGGATGTCAGTGAATACGAAAGTGCCTGCTCGATTGCCAGTTAATTCTGGATTGCTGCAGTTATCTTCTATGTATCTGAGTGAGTTGATATACGGTTATGTGTAGCACTTTGTACCGTAAAATCACTTGAAGCACTTGGTATGGCAGGTAGAGTCGATTAGTGAGCTTTTTGTGTAGTTGTTCCTGCAGACACCCAACCCATAGGCCAGACATGACAACTGCGGCCTAGGTTTTGAAGATGTTATAGACGATTGTTATGTCTGTAAAAGATCCCAAAACTGGAGATGATCGGTATGAAGAGCTGGCCTGATACAGTTCTAGATGCTCTATGTAGCCATAGGCGTCGGTAATGGATATGCAAATGAGTGTACCCGGCTTAGGGAGCTCCAAAGGTATTATCTTTACTAGGGCACACGCGATTACAGGAGTATTTTCTCACTGGACGCTTTTCAGAATAATGAAAAGCTACCTGCTAATTATCCTAAAGAGCGAGGCCGGACGCTGGCTATGGGAAGCATCTTGAGTGACTTGGTTCAAGCCATAGACGAATAAGGAGGATTAGTCCTCTGCAGGCAACGCTGTTCGTGGCCACATACGGGAGACTGTACGAGATTACCTCCATTAGAGGGAAGAGATTTCAGAATTGAAACACTAGCCGAACGGTGGTTAATGGAAACGAAGTGTGGGCGTTCTGAAGCGTTCTGGAAGGTATGTCGTGTAGCATATCACGTTTGGATGGAGTAATGATGCTCAACAACATCATCAGGACTGGCTATATGTTGGCGGTGATGTTGATAACTTTGGTCGAGGTCCCGCTGAGACACTTTGCCCATTCCTATCTTCCCTGCCCTCTCCCTATCTCTTCTTTGGGTTGACTGTGGGATGCAAGACATGTTCGTGGAGAAGAGAGGGTGGGTCGTAGCTCAGTGGCCGCGAAGTTTTTGGCAAATGGCCTCTCCCGACGAAAGACGTACAATGTAGAAGAGACCGTGCTCTGAGGACTACCACGTGGTCTCCTAAAAGCCCAGCAAACGTTCCAAGGAGCATTGTCCGTCATCTTGGAGCAACCGGCTATTCGGGAAACGGTATTATATCGAGTAATCCAGGAATGTGACCGGGTCATACCATACCGCTAAAAGTCGCTTTCCAGGGATTAAAGAACAGCGTCATCGGGAACAGAATAAGAGCGACAGTGGATATAAAACATGTCAACTCCTGCACTTCATGGGCTTGACGGCAAGGACCTGGTCAGATACTTCATTGTTCGTCTGCATCGTTACAGCTACCAGAATGGGCCAAGAGAACTGCGACCATGATTTTATGCAGGATCCTTCTACACCTGATGTATGCTCGCACTTAGCTGCCTGTGAAGACCATCGGGTAGCCGCTACACAGCTCTCTCGAGACAATGATGTCGACATTGATGCCGGACCGGGAAATACTCCTCTTATGTGGGCAGCCTACAAGTGCCCTTGCGGTGCTGGTGCTGTTAGCAAGCTGCTTGCGTCCGGAGCAGATGCTGCATCCCAAGACACCGACAAGTTCCTCGCACTTCACATAGCAGCAGGGAAAGGATCTTTTCCAGTTGTGGAGCTGCTCCTGCAACTTCCTGGAATCAATGTAAATGCGCAGGACAAACACGGGTCAACCGCTCTTCATGAAGCAGCATATAATGGACGTTTGCCAATTGTCGAGCTGCTCCTGCAACATCGTGGCACCGATGTCAATAGAAAGGACAATTACGGGTGCACCGCGCTTCATGAAGCGTCAGATGAAGGACGTCTGCAAGTTGTGGAGCTACTCCTGCGACGAGGTAGGGTTGATATCAATGCACAAGACAACGACGGTTGGTCCGCACTTCACATAGCGGCATGCAAAGGACATTTGGCAATGGTCAAGCTGCTCCTGCAACATCGTGGAATAAATGTCAATTTGAAGGACAATCACGGTCGGTCTGCTCTCTGGTTTGCAAAAGAGAAAAGAGACATGCCGATATACTACTCTCTCGCTGGCGACCCCCGGCTGAACGACAACGAAATAATCAACCCGTTTGGCTCCCCACCGCATCAATGTCACACCTGCTCCGAAATGGAAGAGAAAACGACTGTCACGGCGATGCCGGTACTGTCCTTATTAGTTGCCTTATTCGTTGCTGCCGTTTTGTGTCCCACGTGTGATTAACCCTTTAGTGGATAGCACCTATACTCGCAACGGTCGTGTTACCGACTTACAGTACATCAGGGCAATGACTTCGGGGTTCTCCTCTCTTTTCGGCAATCCATCAAGACCGACACATACTTGCACATTTCTCGTCTTTCAGTCAAATTGTATTTCATTGACGATTTCGGAGCGTCGTGAGTTGTTCGCCGCAGCCAGTGGCCAGCTCTGCTGCCCTCGAAAATATTTTGAATTACGAGACCCGTGCAAACACGTTGGCAGAAATACATGAACTTCTCTAAGGTGCTTTTCCTTTTGTAGTTGCTCTTCAAATATGAGATGAAGCTTGGCCGAACACGGCTATATGCATTCGCTCTTTTCGCCTATTTAGTACAGTCATTTAAAAATAGATAGTCGCTACCACGCCGGCCAGACTTCACACTGGCATCCGCTCATGCCAAGCCCTCTGCTTTACACAGCCTAGTGAGGCTCTCATATGACGGCTTTATCCATACACTTATAGAGGGCCCGGTTTTAAACCTCCCAGAAGACTTTGGGGAAGTCGGTACGGCATCTTTGAAAGCTTTGTAAGTGACCACTGATACTTACAAACCAGCCACTACCACATAAGGGGCCCCAGTATATAGACCACTGTTGAACTCGGTCCTGATCCGAGCTTTTGCTCGCCGTGGTCAGCAGTTGGCAGATGGCAGATGGCAGGGCCCATCTACGCATTTTCCCATCAAGAAACTCTTTATAAAAGGGAGTAGAATGGATAACAAGCACATTCCAAAATACACGTTGTCTTTCCGTGCCACTCTCCACGTCACATATATTGTTTAACCGATAAATAAACATTCCCTGCGGGCGGGCCCCACTAGAAGGGCAACGCAGACTCTTTCATCGCGTGTCTGAATCGCCTCCTTCAATTCTATCCCCTGGGCCCGCCTCACCAAAAAAAGAAATAGAATAAAAACTAAAGATATAGTCCCCTTTTATTCATGACATACAACTCGGCTTGATGGGCTTATGCAGTACTAGCAGAGCTTATACGTACAAGTGGGATATCTGATCCTATTTTCCTTTAACCGCTCCATTCCAAGCTCAAACGTGCGAGACCTTCTTGGCGGTATTCGCTTGGAGGTACAGTGCCAGCCCTTGCCGTCATGAAACTTCCAGAAGAGGTGGTGGATCGTATTTCATTCTTCACACCAACCACGTCGAGAAGTGAACTACTGTCTGCTCTTCCCGTCAAGGCATGGAGATTATATAGGCAACAAATCTCGCTCTGGTCTATGACTTTCAGGTACATACGACCAACGGCTCAGTGAGTCAACAAGGAATCATGCGAGACTGGCCTTGATCGACTGTGGATATGGACGGATTGCATGTTGCAACTAAAATGAAAATTGTGGGAGTTAGGCATGATACTTTGCTTTATAGGCGTCAGCGGAGATATACCAGGGGGCTTTTCAAGCTGTTTGCATTGCCACATCTACAAGCCGCCATCAAGAGAGATACATTCTGATTATGGAATAACACTGAGCGTCCAGAACACTGTCACCTCCCTATCTTGCCGCTCTTGCAAAAGAGCCGACTCTACGACACATGCTATCACCGACGTCTCCCCCTGAGAGGATGAAAGACGTGGATGCTTAACAGAAAGGAAAGCCGTGCACACAATATACTGTACCGTAGGCAATTACAAATTTCATAGTTATATAACATGGGTCCTAGTTCTGAATGCGACATGAGCAATCAAGGCAGGCAGCCTCCAGCCGTTCCAGTATCCTTGACGACAGTCGTGACGTGGCATGCTGATTAAACAGAGCGCTCACCAGATACTCAGCTGGGATTCTATGGAACCAGTGCAGCAGAACTAGCTTCTTCTCTGTACCAATTAGCCAGGTCCAACATCAAGTCACCGTAATAAACAGGCCACGCTCTCTGTAAGAGAGCTTGGTCTCGGCGAGAACACAAACATGTGATATACATACATACCTTCCGTACTAAGATAAAGCGGCGTTTTGCGCCGGACATTGGGAGGCCAATAGTGGTGGTCCTTTCCGAAATGGGCTTGGAGATACTTGGATACCAGCCTCGTGATCACGAAGCACTCCAGTCTTTCTGCGTGGTCAAGAGCGCTTGCGAACAAGCAGGATGTGCCGGGCGTTCTAACATATATACCGAACGATGGATTACACTCCACATGTTCTGGCGTCCCGGATACTGGCCGTGAGGCACTCGAAATCTGCGGCAGTGTTCGACATATGTCTGACCACATGTCAGCATATTCCTGCGGTCAAATCAGGGAACAGCGTACGAGATAGACTCACTAGGCCTTGGGTCGAGGAAACGGCCGCTGTATGCCTGCCTTGCTAATTTAGGGTCATCCTGTGCGGTGTCTAGGCTGGCTATAAACCGCAAACGGCCACCAGCATCGTGGTTCGGTAGGATTGATGGTCGATACACTTTTGTATCTCTGGGGATAATGACCGCCTTCATTGCTAAGCTCCGAGGTTGCGGTTGAATCGGGCGAGCCCAGAGGATGGGAGTATATAGAAGGTGCAAAGTCGAAAAGATGCAAATACCGCGGTTGTTCAAGTACTGATGTACTCATAAGCTGGCCCGGTACACGTGTTACCGGCTGGCCCCTTATAAAGAGTAAGTTGTGGATACTGTACTGAACGGACACACGACGCTTAACGTCTATATGTTGGGCTGAATATCATCTCGCATGGGTATGAGAACATGTTTGTAAATCTCCAAAGGCTGTATGTGATTCTGGGCATGGTGGAGTACTGGACGCATGCTGCAGTAGTAGAGCAGGGCAGGACCTCTCCTACTCGAGTTTCGCATGAGACTGTGGCTGGGCTGCTCTGCTATGTGAGACAACATGGGGCGCGAATCATAATGGGTCGTAGGGCATCTGAACAGTGCGCTAAGCTCGATATGTAATAGCGCACGTTGCGTAGTACGCTAACTCCTTCCAGCAAAGAAACCCATGGCTTACCGCCTCCAGCCAATGGTGGGGGCACTGCCCGGAGGAGCCAAGGGAACATTCGCCGTACAACTACTGGGTCATTACGTCAATTCCTTTTATACCGGAGAAGCAGAAAGTAATGCCAGCAACTATCCCTAGTCAACTTTTGAAGGGAATACTGGAGCCTCAGGAATCATACAGCATCTCACACAGTCACATGACGTCTGCATTAGCGAGGGCAAGCAGCTGTGTTGCGACGCACTGAATGTGATAGTGCAGAAAGCACGGAGCGAAGACTTACTCCTCGTACCGATTCTACCTAGCCACGGTTGCTCAGACATGATGAGTAGCATGAGTGAGCGTCCTACGTGACCGGTCACCTGACGCTCACTTGACGGTTTGTCAATCAACCATTTGCCTCCCCTAGGCTCAGTTGATTGATGTGTAGGATTACTACCAGTACAGCATATATTATGGCTGCGGTCCGTTCTGGGACTATTCACTGAGAGCGGCAAAGCCGTATCTGTACTTCGAGATAGAGTTCTGCACGCCGGCTCTACCTAGTCCAGTAGAGATAATCACTGATACGAAAAAGAAAAAGACTATATCATAAGGTCTGACTGGATGAGGCGGGGGCTTCTACGAGTAACATACGCATGCTCTGAGTATTGCATCTAAGTGATTGTGCTCTGGCTAACATCAGTCATGTAACGTAAGTTTCCGAATGATAACATGTAGTACTGTAATCAGGAGTCGCCCGATGGCGATCAGATTACCCGCGCTCCAGGATGCCGGTACCACCTGTCATCCGAGTCTATATGCTTTAAGAAGATCAGCAATTTCTGCATGTCCCATCTCATGAGCGGCCGCCAGTGCTGGTCGCCGGAAGTAATCCCCTTCAATCACGACTCTTCTGTCCTGAAGCAAACGTCTCACAACGTTGAACTGTCCCGCATACACCGCCCAGCACAGCGGACTGCGTCCAATGAGGTCCGCCCGGTTGACATCCAGCTGAGGATCTTGAAGGAGGAGATCGACCACATCATGATGCCCGGCTGCTGCGGCCCGGCATAGTGGGGTCTCGCCTGCCAGGGTTGGGAGATTAATGTCCAAGCGATCCCGGTGCTCGAGGAATAAGTTCACAATCTTGGTGTGGCCTCGTCCCGCTGCCAGGCCCAGTGCCGATGCGTTTCCCGCGCAGATTGGATCCAGCTGCAGATCGTCTCTCGCAAGCAACAGTCTGGCCATGTTAATGTCTGCTTGATGCACGGCCCACACAAGTGGAGTCCAACCGGTCATGCCCGGTACATTGATATCCAGTCTCTCCTCGCAGAGAAGTAGCCGTGCTATGGTTCGGTTCCGGTACTGGATCGCATGATGGAGGGATGTTGATCCATCCCGGCCTACAACATTAAGATCGAGGTCGTCTTCGCATAGCAGCCGCTTTGTCAGAATCTCGTCAGAGCGCTTCGTCGCCCACCAGAGTGCGGTCCGCCCACATGTATCTCCCACATTTGCATCCACCTCTGGCGCAGCGAGGAGCAGCTTGGCAACGGACAGGTACCCGCGGGTTGTGGCTTCATGCAGAGCTGTGAACCCGTCGTCGTTCCGGCCGTTTAGCTTGATGTCTGGTTGGTTGAGCAAGAGCGTGAGCAAATCAAGATCCGCCATGCCTGCGGCTAGATGTAAGGGGGAATTCCCGCTGGCCGTGCGCACATCGGCATCCGTAGGGGCTTCCAGCAGAAGCTGGCAGATGCGGTTCCTGCGGAGGGCAACGGCCAGACATAATGGCGGCATTTCTTCGTATATCTTCCAGTGCCCATCGGCACCGCAAAGCGAGACATCAAGGTCACTGCGTGTCAGGAGCAGGGCGACGATTCGTCTATTGTCTTTGATGATGGCACGATGCAGGGCGGTCATACCAAGACAATCCTGCGCGTTCACATCAAGGTCCTGCTTCTGAAGCAAGAGCTGCACAAGTCCGTCATCGTTGTGCAGAACAGCATAGTGCAGAACCGTCCGGTCCTTCAAGTCTCGTGCTGAGACGTCAATGTCGCCATGCGCTAGGAGCGCGCGACCGCCGCAGCCAAAGTCTTTGCGCATGGCGTACATCAATGGCGAGGCTGACTGGCCCTGTGGATGCATCTCAATTCTCGCATCGGCCAGAAGCAATCGCAGAATGACGAGGTGCCGATGCTTGATGGCATCCAGCAGCGGTGTCTTGTTGTCTCGGCTTCCTGCGTTGATATCCGTACGGGCATCTGAAAGCAACACCTGAACAACCTCTACATCCTCCCTCCGCACCGCTACACCAAGCGGGGTCAAGCCCAGTCCCTCGCCGCGGCAGTTGACATCAATGCCGTCGTACGAAAGCAGCCATCTCACAACGGGTGCCTGTCCGAACATTGCGGCAACATGAAGAGGTGTGTAGCCATGGAGATACACATTGACGCGGGCCCGGTAATAACACATCGTCTGGACAAGTTCCAGCTTACCATAACGCGCCGCCCAGTGCAGCGCCGAGCTGTTTTCGAACCGTACGTTGAAGCGATAGAGCACCGGTAGCAGCTGTCGATGTACATGCGAATTGGTGAGACACAGAGAATGGATGTCCTTGGCCCGCTCCAGATGGTCCATGACACAAAGTAAGAGCTCCCCCGGTAGGTCCAGCAGCAACATGCTGGTCATAGGAGGTGGTAGGTGTTCTTGGGATCGTGCAAAAGAGAGCTTGGCTGAGATGTGGTCACACCAGGAGGTAACAGCGAGGCTCTAGGAAGGTACACGCGCCGAGATGGGCCTGTTGGCTCCTCGAAGCAGCTGGGTTACGATACCTTTATACCGTGGCGTCCGCGTACCTGGCTTGTGGGCCTCGGCAGGAACAAATATATCCCAAAGGATCTCTTGAGAGGCGTTGTCTCTAATGGAGCCAGGCTGCGCTTTTCATGTAGATCAGTCCCACAACTAACGTCTCGAGAACCGTAAATCCATATGATGGTATGCAGCGGCGATGCCCCATATGAGGGCACGCACTCTCTCTGGATGCCAAGGCCGTTCCCACACACATGGCTGATAGCAAGCAACCTTGCAATCCCGTGCCATGCTATCTCACACTACCACTGCATCTAGAATGCATGGGAGTGCCTCTCGGATTTCTACTACCGCGTGCTAGTATAGATTGATCCAGATGCCGGATGCCGCATTCCGGTATGAACAGTCTAGAATTCGGGAAACTCATAGTGGAAGAATTCAAATTCAGGCATGGCTTATAAGGCGCTGCACAGTACGATATTGTAATTAATGCTGCAACATTCCAAAGTATTGGCTGCATCTCACAGATCAATAAGCGTATCAACGCACAGAGACGCGCGGGATGTTCCACGCTCCTCTGCAGGACACTCATTCTAACACGGACCGAGTATCTGAAGCTAGAGCTACAAAGGGCAGGTCAACTTGGCTGCGGGTCAAAAGCGTGGTCGAATTTGCTGGAATCAAGAGGCTCATGCAGCATCTCCTCGTCCATCCATTGTTCGAACGCAAACCGGGCTGCTGGCAGGCGGTTGTACAGGAAGATCTCGAAGAAATCCGGGGGAATATTCTGCAGCAACCGGGGCCGGAACTGCTGCAGGACCGCCTCCATGGCTTCAAACTGGGTCTTTTTCAGCGTGCGGTAGTCCGTCATGGACGATC